CCTAATTCTCATATCCAAAGTTGACTGGCTTCTCTTTAATAAATTGTTCTGCTGGGTGAAATATTTCACCATAGATTCGCCTATGGATATATGTTTATGGAAACATTAGTATGGTTATATGAACAAACTTTTTTATATCTAAGTACCTGTCTCTGCTCATACGGATAGCGTTGTAAACACAGGGACCCATCTAATGGCCAGTATAACCTTTCTTATGGTAATCTGTTATACCCAGTTAGATCTAATATTGCAAAAAAGTTTGCATTTCGTTTGGAGATATTGTAAAAAACTGAATATTTTTTGCCGTGCGTATAAAATTGACTGGCCATTAATGTTTCTAATAATTTCTTCAGTAAGTAATTTTTTTAAAAATTTAATTGGTGATAAATTCCTTTCCAGATGAGTGTCTTTAACGTTTTTGAATAATTGTTCAGCCAGATAACCTAGGGTTATAAGTAAGACGCTGCACCTAGCTAAGTAATTTAACCTCCAAATAAATCTTTAATTAATACAGGAAACGTTTTAATATTTCATTGATATCCAAATTCTACTTTTCAATGTCTTCAATAAAGTATTTTTATAAGGCATCAGTGAACAAATTGTTTTTATGATTTGAATTATATCCTATTTTTGTAATTAATTTATAAATTACCCAATAAACATCTTTGAAAACAGTATTTTTTTATTTATAAATTTAATAAACAATATTGTTTACTATTATTTAATCCACCTTGCAATAAAAGTAAGTACGGTTCTGGCATCTGTCAGAATTATTCTTAATAATTACATGAAATAATACTCGACACATCCAATACAGTATATGACATCATAATTAATGATGCACTGAAAAAAGGCTCTGAGAAGGACTATATATGGCGACAAATTTTGAAAAAAGTGATCGAGAATTGGACCTCCAGATTAAACTACGTCAGAACCAGCCATGGCGGTAATATGCCAGAATTCATATTTAAATTATAATACCAAAAGATTATCTTGCGAATATTTTATGTCAACTTATAGAAGTCTTCTTTGTTTTATTCCAGTCAAAATCCTGTACATACCTCTAAATTGACACCATTTAAATACATTTTTGTTTATTGATTTTTGTACTCTATGTTATAATTCAACAATTTGTATTGTTATAAAATGGCTTGATAATTATTGTCAAAGTTATATAAAGTTAAATTTAGATCTGGTAAAGTTAAATGAACTATTGTATCACTGTCGCTATTTTCCGAAAGCTAAAATCCACTATTTTTATTTATCCTTAACTGTCTCATTCTTCAAATTAGAAATTACCCTCGCTTAAAGCAGACTTTTAGAAGTTAAGCACATGATTTTTTTCAGCAAATGGCCGTTCTTATATTTTACATTGAGCGATACTCAACTACCCTCATATTTTACTCGGTTCGCTCTCATTCTTCATTCCCGAGTAACCGTAGATCAGAACATGCTTGTCAAATATCCCTGAATCTTGTTGAAGCCACTAAATAGATTGAACTTAAAGCCCACAGTCATGTCTTATTCATGTCGGAATCGCTTCAACTTTAGTGGACAATCCCCGGGGATTTTACTTGAGGTACAGAAATGTTTTATTCCTGCTTTTTACAGAGCTGCTCGGGAATTATGATCGTCGTTATTGTTTTTATGGTCTTAAAGTCGTCGATTTATTTTCCTTTAAACTAAGAGCTGGTTATAGGTATCTCGATGACACAGCTAAAGACGACGTGCATAGTAATTGATATTTATTTACAGGTGTAATTTTCAAGGGCGTGAATAGGAGTTGTGCAGCATATCATCTCAATTTAACTACCCGATTTAACTATTTTTGTACCGGGTGTTTCTTTTGAAAAGGAACATACATTACCAATATCCACATACATAATGAGTTTCATCAATAACAAAGATACTAGGTGTTTAATCTATTTTGTCAACTTCTTATTTGATTCGAAACTTTTTAACCACACTGTATATTTCTTTGTATTTGGCGCGCTAATATTTTTTAAGGTGAAAAATTGATTAATTTATCTATAATTCTAAGAAACCATGGTCCGGATTAAAAAATATTGGAAATATTTTGCGACCCAAAAACAACACACTTTAAACTAGATTTTTTTAAAATGGATTCTGCATTCGAAAAAAGAATGAAACATTCAATTTATTGGTATACTTTGAGCTGTCGTTCAAATGTATTTTGTGGTAAAATTTGTGGCATGTTAATTTTTTTTAACCCTTAACCACTGACATGCGGTATGCCATACCGAGCCGAAAATATATTTTGTTGTAAAACGTGTTTTATAAAAGATTCTTAGAACACCATCTGTGTACCTTCAAGTGGGGTTTAATTGTACCTGCTCTCAACTGCTGCAGTTTGAGTACACGTTTAGTCTTTGAGCTACGTTGACATAAAGTTTTCTTGCGGTATCAAGTACCGCATGTCAGTATTTACGTTTCTATAGTTAAACGCAGTGTAGTGTATTCTTTTGCTGTTAGTATGGCAGCAAGTTCGTCCAGTTGTTCTAAATTTAGCCGCAAAACTGTAAAGCTTTCAGATGATGATTTTGAGGCTGTTTTATCTCAATGGGCTGACGAAGTACCTAGTGATTTAGAATATTTTAGTGATGTTGACAATGCAAGCGAAGAAGTATGTATTGAAAGTTCACACGATAGCGGAAGTGAGCAGTCGGAAAGTTCTGAAGACGAATATCATTTAAATGATAATGGTAAGTCATATTTTTATGGCAAAAATCGTTTTAAGTGGTCTACTACAGCACCCTCGAAAAATGTAAGAACTCCGTTACACAACCTTGTAACAAAAGTACCAGCTGTGCTTTGCAGAGATGTAAGAAAGGAAACTTCATCATTTTTTTTTAATTTTCTTATTTCTGAGGATATAATACAACAAATACTTAAATGGACAAATAATAAATTACGTACAATTCGTAAAAACTATAAAAGAATGAATAGACCAGAACTAAATGAAATTGATGAAATAGAACTAAAAGCCTTTTTGGGATTGCTTTTATACTCATCAGCTTTCAAATCCAATGACGAAGATATAAATTCTATATTTGCTACAGATGGCACTGGTAGAGATATATTCAGATGTGTTATGTCAAAAGAAAGATTTGCAATATTTCTAAAATGTTTACGTTTTGATAACCCTCTGGATAGAGAAGAAAGAAAAAAGATAGATCCAACAGCAGCCATTAGTAACATATTTAATATACTCATATCAAATTGTCAAAAACTGTATTCCGTAGGCACATGTGTTTGTATTGATGAAATGTTGGTCGGCTTTAGGAGAAGGTGTAGGTTTAAAATGTATATGCCTAATAAGCCTGTGAAATATGGCATTAAAATAATGTGCCTGACTGATGCACGAACAAGTTACGTATACAATGCCTATATATATGGAGGCAAGGACACTGACGGAACTGGGTTATCTAGGAAGAAAAGAAGATGAATAAACCAACTCAATCTGTTCTTCGGCTTGCTAAACCTATTTATGGAACTAACCGTAATATCACAGCTGATAATTGGTTTAGTTCTATAGAATTAGTAAAGCAGTTAGAAGTAAAGAAGTTAACGTATGTGGAACCCTCAAAAAAAAATAAACGGGAAATCCCTCTGGAATTCCAGCCACACCGATGCAGGCAAGTAAATTCAACTACTTACGGATTTACGAAAAGTTTATCCCTAATTTCCCATGTGCCAAAAAAATCGAGGGCTGTTTTACTTATTTCTTCGATGCACCATTCAATAGGCACGGATCAGATTACTGGAAAACCAGAAATTATAGCTCATTAAAATCGTACGAAAGGAGGTGTCGATACTTTAGATGCCAAGTGTGCCAAATATTCTGTAAAACGTCGTTCTCGCCGATGGCCACTTACTATTTTTTACCGCATCATTGATATAGCTGCTGTTAATTCGCATGTTGTATACCAATCACAACAAGAAGATAATATGGAAAGGCTAAACTACACAAAGGTGTTGGCGAAACAATTAGTTTTACCTCATCTACAAAGAAGACTCGAAAATCCCAGAATCCCGAGAGAATTATTATGTGGTATTGAACGAATACTAGGACAAAAACGCCAAAAAGAAGCAGATTTTGAAGAAAGGCTTGAGAAAAAGAATACGTGTTATTTATGCCCAAGTGCAATACAGCGAAAGACTTTTTATGTGTGCTTTTCTGTGGAAAACCAGTGTGCTTAAAGTGTACAAAGAAAAATTGCGGACCTTGCGCGCAAAATGACTAGTTATTTTATTGTAATTTTTGGTTATTGTCAGAATTTTGTATTTTAGTTTCTCATTAAATTTAAATCATTAGTCTGTTTCTTTTAACAATATTTTACCATTTGTTAGTGAAAAGTAATCAATTTTTCTTGTAATTTAGTTTATAAACGATTTTGTAGTAACGTCCACCATTTTTTTAAATATTATGCATGCATTCTTAATATTCTTGAAAAAGTAAAGTATTATTTTACTTGTAGCAGTATATTATGCTACAGCAATGTTAAGAATCATTCCTTAGTTGATATAAAAAAACAAATACAGTGATATAAGATAAATTCATATTAAAAACAAAGGTGAATAGGCAACGGTATGACATACCGCATGTCAGAGTCTACGTCCTGAAACATCCACGTCAGTAGTTAAGGGATTTATTTAAAACTTTTTACAGGACTGCATTTTGAGTTAATTCTATCCAGAGATTATTATTTGTATCTCTTCGAATACGTCAAGTTTGTGTACTTAAAAGGTTGCTTTTCATAATAAAGTATATTAGGGTAAAAGTATTCAAAGTTCTCTCCAAAATACCGTATTTTGAAGACGATTTCCGAAGTGAAAATTGAAACGTCAATAAACGTATTTTATCCTTTAATTGTGGCTTATTTCCAGTTAAGTAGTAATTAATTTAAACTGCCACAAGCAAATAGCTTTAGAACAATATAAGAAATAATTTATAACAATAATTTTTTAATAATATCTACATACATACATACATACAAATTTTAAAAAATAATTATTTCAACATCTTGAATTCTCCATATTATCAAGTTTTTGAAGAACTGAAGGGACTAGATATGTCATTTGGTCTCGGTGATTAATAAAATCATCGTGTGTCCACCGTTTGTATTTCATTATCGTTATCCCACACCTTACATTTGGATTTAAAAGACTGTCTACTAGCTTGCCATTCTAAAACAAATGAGGTATTGTAAGTATCAGCATTTGAAAGACATAATACATACTTTAGAAGGAAACCACGTACTGTAAAATAAATTTTTAATAGATAGTACAGAATTTTAAATCAATATGTGGACCAGATCAAATATACAGCGAATGGCTGAAATTAGTCTCAAATGACAATATAAAAGAACTCACTGTACTTTTCAATCAAATATATGATATCAGTGAAATTCCATCGGACTGGTTAAAATCGATCTTTATTCCTCTACCTAAGAAACCAAACGTTAAGAAATGTATCGATTGTAGACTCATTAGTTTAATGAGCCATGCCGTTAAAATACTGTTGCATATTCTTCTAAACCGAATTAACAACAAGTGCGAAGAAATAATTAGTCAAGAGCAGTTCGGGTTCCGGAGATGCCTTGGAACAAGAGAAGCACTATTTTCTATGCAAACACTCCTTCAACGATGTTGGGAGGTAAGAAAACCCGTATATATGTGCTTTAATAATTTTGAAAAGGCATTTGATCGTGTTCAGCATACCAGACTAATTACCGCCTTGCAGAGCATCCAACTAGATGAGAAAGACATCAAACTTATTGCCAAACTTTACTGGAACCAAACAGCCATTATTAATACCAACAACAGAGAATTAAAGCCAATCAGTATTGAACGAGGCGTAAGACAAGGCTGTATACTATCTCCCACCCTCTTTAACGTGTATTCTGAGAATCTATTTAGGGAAGCTTTAAAAGATCAAAAAGGAATTATCATAGGAGGAGAAATTATTAACAATATACGGTACGCCGACGATACTGTGATTCTAGCTGAAAACATCGACGATCTGTAGGAGCTAATCAATAGAGTTGACATGGAATGCATAAATTGGGGACTGTCGATAAATATCGATAAAACTAAATACATGGTGACTAGTAAAGTGGATATCGGCGCAACCCAACTGATATTAAACCAACAACCGCTGCAGAGAGTTAAAAGATTCAAATACCTTGGATGTTGGATTACCCAAAATCTAGATCCATCCTTCGAAATTCGATATAGAATTGAACAGGCAAGAAACTCATTTCAAAAATTCAAGCCTCTATTATCCAATAACTCAATAAATTTGGAAATCCGTGAAAAGTTTACAAGATGTTACGTGTGGTCTGTACTTTTGTATGGATGTGAAACTTGGACTTTATACGCCGATATCATGAATAAAATCAAGGCGTTTGAGATGTGGTTGTATCGAAGGATACTAAAAATTCCATGGACTAGCAGAACCAGAAACGAAGAAGTTCTTCGAAGAATGGGACATCAACGAACTCTATTAAATATTAATAAGAGGCGTAAACTAGAATATCTTGGACATACAATCAGAGTACCAAGATATGAGTTCCTTCGGCTAATTCTCAACGGTAAAATCGAAGGAAAGAAATGGATAAGACGGAAGAAACTCTCTTGGTTGAGGAAATTTGCGGCAGTGGACAGGTTTGACAGCGGACCAATTGCTACACGTAGCCCAAGACCGAGATCAGTATAATAATATTATAAGCATGGTAGTCACCGACGTTCCGTAGGGATATGGCACTCTAAGAAGAAGAATCATTGTTATCATAATAAGACTTGATGTTGTTACAGTCCTCTCTCTCTATAACGATATGCAAGATACCGGGAATCTTCACCGTTATAAGGAGAGATCGTTATACAGAGAAAAACAAAAATCGTTACTGTAATAATAAGAATACTGTAGTAACTAACCTATTGTAGTTTACATAATTGATCAAAACAATTAAAAATGAATTATGTACTGTACACAACAAAAATTTATGAAAGAGTGTTATAAGCAATATAGCATAAAAAAACTACTGTACAATTAAAAAATGTATACTGTACAATAACAAAATAATATGGTACTGTACAGTATTTTCATCAAGGTATAAAAAAAGATTACATACTATATTTAGCTTACATTCACGAAATAGTCTATAGCCCTGGTCCGTTTCCTTTTCTCTATCTACAGAACTGACCTTACCTTGTCCTGAAGACGCATAGAATCTTCCACAGCACTCATATCGTCTTCCTGGTGAATGAAAAAGCGATGAAGTATTTTTGCCGCACCCAATTCTGGTTGAGGGATCGAAGCTAGTTCTGGCTCTGCTTCCACTTCCAGGTCACTGTTTTCTTCTTCTTCTTCTACACGAACTGCTTGTAAGGTGCCCTCTTCAGAAAGTCCAGATGTTATAGCTACATTTTCATTAACTTCTTTGAAATCTGTTAGCTCTTCCGGTCCGTAGGTGATAGAAAGTTCAAAGTGTCTGACCGAAACAGCTAACGGCAGTTTAGGAAATCGTTATAAAGAGAGACTACTGAGAGACTTTTCTCAAGTAATCTATTTTTAGTATGTATTTGCACTTAATAGTCTTTAACTGGATATGTTGAGGAGGGGAGAACTGTTTGCCTCAAGTTGGTCACTCTAAATTATGTTCGTACTTTTTAATCTGTAGATTTTCATAGATTATAATAAAGATAGCATAAGGCCTTTAGTTTGCATGTGAAGAATTTTAAATTTGTCATTAAAGGAATAAATATGGTCTAGAAGGTGAAGTGTGTACGAAAATGTGTTTTTCTATTATTGATAAGCGTTTTATGTTTTGCTATACGTTTGTTAAAAGTTCTACCAGTTTGACCGATGTAAGTTTTTGAACAGTCACCACTATTTAGGTTTGTATACACCACTTACACCTCTACATATATACACAAACCACCTATTTTTTTAAGTATCTTAACAACAATTTAATAAAATGTTACTTACTTCCACTGTTGTTATAAAATCTCCTTCTCCCAAAAACTGCGCAACTGGTATATTTATTTTAGATAAATCATAGTATGGAGGTTTGGGAGTTCCGTACTTTTTTAAATTTCCTTCTCTGCCATAATCAAATCTACGATATTCTCCAGATCCCCACAACTGAGTATAATGTTTTATAAGAGTTTCGCCTACTGCATCGGGAAAAAAGTAAGTAACTATTGGAAAATGTTCCTAAAAATTGTTTTTAAAGTATGCAGTGCTCATTATATTAAGTGTATGTAATAACAGTACAAAAAATACGAAATATAGTTAAACGTTGCTGAAATTTGACATTGGTAAGACTAATTACGTGCATTGTGTTAATTAAGCTTACCATGGAATAGTAAATATTAAGCAAACAGAAAATAGAGCTTTCAGAAGAAACAAGAAACACCAATCTCAAAAGACGCACAATTTCTCTACTTAAAAATAAAATCTGAAAAAAAACATAGTGCTAATCCATACAGAAGACATATAACAAGTAATGGCATCCGGATGTTAAAACAGTCGTTAAACGACGTTGACTGGGCTTCAGTTGTTTCTCTCAAAACAGCAACAGAATTAGCTCAATTTATTACCGAAATATATGTTAAGTTAACTGAAATTAATTTTCCATTAAAAAATCACGAACTCATAGTAAAGCTCAAATTTCTTGGTTTGATGATGAATTAATAGAAATGCGAAAAAATCTTTCCACAGTCAAGATAATTGCTGATGTTACAAAGGAATATAGTGAGTATAAAAAATTTAAGAAGCACTATAAATCAACAATATCATTAAAGAAAAAACCGGCGTATGAAAATTTTTTTCCAATTCTGAAAATATATCTCGTGATAGTTGGAAAGTTATAAATTATCACAGAAATAAATTTCAAAATAAAAAAGTCTGTCCAAGCGCGATTACATCAAACGATTTCAATAATTACTTTACTTCAGTGGCTAAACATATTAGAAGTTCTTTTAATTCTACAAATGAAAATGTAGCCCTAGATTTTTTGAAAGATGTACACTCTCCTTGCAACTCTTTATTTTTATTACCTGTTAGTGATACTGAAATCAGGAATGTTTTGCATAGATTGAAAAATTCACACTGCACGGATTTTTATTTCTTAAATAAAAAAATAATTGTGGAAACAATCGATATTATTATTGACAAATTAATTATACTTTATAATAATTGTCTTACTGAGGGGATTTTCCCAGATGTTTTAAAAGTAACAAAAGTGCTATCAGTGTTCAAAAAGGGAGCTTTAGATGAAATTGGAAATTACCGTCCCATCTCAATCATTTCCATTTTCGGCAAAATTTTTGAGAGTATTCTAAATGTTCGTTTGGTAGAATATCTAGAAAAACACAAAATACTTCACCCTAATCAATATGGCTTTAGAAAAAAGTGTAGCACTACACTAGCTATACAGAAAATTGTGAGATATATAGTTGATGGCTTGGAGGAAGGTCATTTTGTGTCTTTGACATTGTGTGACTTATCCAAAGCTTTTGACTGTGTTTCGCATGAATTACTGTTGGAAAAAATGCATAAGTACGGTATTAGGGGAAACACTCTTAATCTATTTAGATCATACCTAACAAATAGAAAACAGGCAGTTTTTCTTAATAACAGCTATTCTGAGTTTAACACTGTCGAATATGGTGTACCTCAAGGTTCGATATTAATACCCACTTTGTTTCTTATTTATCTGAACGATTTATTTCACTACACGTTTTCTATAAAATGTGTATGCTTCGCAGATTATACAACTCTCATAAATACTGATATTAATAAGAATAATTTAAAAATTAAAATAGATAGTGTTACCAAGAAAGCAAAAAACTGGTTCTCACATAATGAGCTAATGCTAAATAAAGAGAAAAATCAGAATTTGTTTTTAGTTCTGATTGGAAGTATATCTTAAGAAATAGTGTTAAACTATTAGGAATCTTTATAGACGATAATTTGGTTTGGAGTACTCATATAGATTACTTAAGTTCTAGACTTGCTACAAGTATATTTTTAATACGCAACTTAGTTTATATGATTCCTAAAAATACCCTTAGAATGTGTTACTTTGCACTATTTCATAGCCATTTACAGTACGGAATAACTGTTTGGGGTAATTCTTCTTACGCAGATCGAATTTTTAAATTACAAAAAAGAGTAGTGAGGATACTTGCAACAGCAGAGTATAGGGAACACTGTAAACCTTTATTTCTGGATTTAGGTATTATGCCACAACCTTCACTCTATATATATGAGACGCTGATTGAAATTCATGATAACAAAGGTAAGTTTAACGTAAACTCCAACGTCCATGATCACGATACAAGATCTAGAGATGCTATTAGAGCACAACGTTTTAGGTTGACAAAGAGCGTAAAAAATTCGACTGACGTTAGTTTGTATAACTTTTTGCCACATGAAGTAAAAAGTCTTCACTTGTTATCATTTAAGCATAAAATCAAATCACACTTTTTGAAACATTTTTTCTATTCAAAAACGGAGTACTTAAGTACAGCTTTTACACAATAGTACTAGTTTGGTCAGGGCAGTTGCCTGACCAAACTAGTACTATTTGACCATTATATTGACCATGTTTGTAATGTTTAAATTATCCAAAACATTTTTATATGTTTTATAAGTATTGTCACTATTCCTTTGACTTGTCAAAAACAAAACTATTTTTGTATATTGATTAAATAAATTCTATTCTATGAAAACTCGAACTGGCTACAAAAGCTATTTTACTCAGGAAAAATTAAATACTGCTAAGATTACCGCACCATCAGCCTGATGCGGTACAAGCTGAAAACGTTACGGAAAGTAATATTCGTTAGACTATATAGAAGACTAGAACACGGTGTTAGTGATACTTAATTTCTTGTTCTTCTCCTTCCTCTTTATAAGCAACTCTGCTGTTCATTGGCGGATAGATACCTCTATGGAAGGTTATCACTTCATGTTTTGTGCGATCGTCCAATACTTCTTTTACTGATTGGTGATAATCTTCTACTGCAGGCAGTGGAAAAGTAAGAAAAAAAAACAGAAATGTTTACTATATGTAATAGTTCTTGCAAAGATTTATAGCAACCGCAAACCTGTGCAGAAAAACACATTCGCTACACCACAACTCATGATGTTGGCAACCGAAAGAAATCAATGCTTTTACAAAGAAATTTTCAAATATAATTAAAATCGCCGTCATTACAGACAACGGATATATTTTAACAAATATATCTTGGAATAACAAAATATAGCTTATATAAGGAAACATTGTTCTGAAGCTACTTTCTTAGTTAAAAATATGTTTATTTTTTAATGATAACATTAATTGAAGCATTTGATATCTGTGTTCATTAACGAATGTTTTCTAACCAAGAAATTTGTTTTCTTCTTACACCTATACGGCTCTCTAGTTTGCCTTTAAGGATCAGTTGTAATATTTTATATCTTATTCCTCTTACTATATGTCCCAAATAAGACATTTTTTAATGTTTAACAGTCTATAGCAGTTTTCTTTGTCGACGCTCCTCAGTACTTCTTCATTAGTTTTCCTTGCCGTCCAAGGTATCTTCAGCATTTGTCTATTAACCCATGTCATTTTTAGATTTTTCTCAACTTGGACTATGTTTAATTGAAGCTTTGCATCGGAATGTGGGTCACGACTAAACACTAAAAATTTGGTTTTGTTTGAGTTTATTTAAATGCCCATTTCCTCTCTTACCTTGTAAACACAATCAAGCAGAATTTGGAGACCGTCAATATTATCTGACAGAATTACTGTATCGTCTGCATATCTAATTACATTAAGTAGTTTCCCGTTGATTTTTATTCCATATGGTTGTCTCTCAAGTGACTTTATAAATAACTGGTCTGAGAAAACATTAAACAATGTTTGGTTACAGATTTTGATGTTTAACCATATATAATGTAAAACAACTGTAAATTTATATCATGTAATGAGTTTTGACCCATATATTTTGGTGGCTCATAGCATGCATACCTTCGTTTACACTGATGATGGATTTAAGAATCCGAAAACGTTTTGTAATATAATTGTGATAGCCCGTTTGGGCATTTTATTATATACCTTTTATAAAGGATTTGAAATAAATTTTTTGTGATATATGGTATACAGCCAGCTACAGGAACTTAGTTTTCTAGTGGATTTTCTAAATAAACTTAAACAGAAGATGGAATTGTGTAGCACCAAACCGAACCATAACGACCGACATTAACTTCATTCTTACCAATAAGATTGCTAAGTAACAGATGTCAGTACTATTAATAAATTTTAAAAGGCTGCAATCATAGATTAATCAGAGCCATAATTGCTCTATATGTAAAATAAAAAAAGAATAAAATTAATCAGAAAATAAACAGTAACTGTGTAAATAACAAAAACCTAAAGAAAAACTTTTCATTAATTTCATTCATAGAAGACAATCGATAAAAGATGATATGACCAAATTGATACATCTCAATTAATCGAAATCATCCTTGTTAGTTCTAAAGAAATTAGAAGTACGTAACAACAAAACGAATATAAAAAACTATCTGATGAAATTAGAATATTGTTAAAAAAAAAGAAGGGAATTGAAAGGAAGAGTAACATACAGATTATACAAGATGGAGAAGGAGAACTTTCAATCGAAAACATTAAAAGCTATAATAACAAAACAAAAAGAGCATTAGGTCGTTGCTCTAACAAACGAAAACACCAGGATTAGAAGTAGAAATAAAATAATACAACTCTTTTAAACAAAGTAGAATTTGATTTCATACGATTTTGAGTACCTTGAATCCAATTGTGCTGAATGCGCTTGATGTCGTCGGGCTACACTTTAGGATAATGTAGTTGATTACGATAAGCATCGTGTTTAGGTCTTTATTATAAAATTTTCTTGATTCATAGTTCACGTCTGAGTCTGGCAACGTGGCCTGCCCACTTTTATTTTAGAGTTGTAATTCTCTTAACTGTGTTCGTAAAACCAGTTTTTCTCTTAACTATTTAATTTGCAACTCTATTTTTGAGGGACATATTCAAAATTGACCTTTCCATTCCTCTCTGTGCCACTTGTATGGATTGCTTTTATAATAAGGGTTATTATTTTTACCCCATTCTGTAAAAGTGCACACTGTTCAAACATATGGGAATATTTTATCTTAAGTCTTTGCTCAGTTTTCCGTAAGCTGTCCATGTTATTCCTAGTTTCTTGTTTAACTCTATTGTTTGACTGTTTTTTACTAATTTATTTTCATGGCTCATATAGACTTATTCAATTTTTGTGTCATTAGTTACAATGCTTTTAGCAGTATAACTTTGAATGTGTATTGTTTTTTGGAGTTAATTTTAAGTCTAACTTGTAAATAACAGCTTTTGAAGAAGTAGGTAGGCATAATCTAGCCGGCCTGAAAACATCAGTAGGTCAGAAATGAACGTTTATGTTGACCTTTATATCTAAAGTAAAATTTATAAAATCACTCCGAAATTTACAAGTTTTAGAAGCAGTCGACAAAAGGACGCAATATCTTCCAATCTCTTTACTGCAACATCCTAGATAAGATGACTTGCAGTCATCTAAGATTTGCAGATGACATCTTAAACGATCAAAACGCAACTAGCAATGAAGTTGGCCTAAAAATGAAACCGGAAAAACAAAAACCATGTACAATGAGCTGGTGAAGGCTCAAGAAATAATACAAATATTTTAATTTAGAAACTTCACAACAAACGAATTTTTAACAAAAACTGTGTGGTCCTCCACCACTCAGCTAGCCCAACCGATTATCCATGTTTCATATTGGTTAAAATGATATATTGTTTTGTTTATTGATAAAATTCCACAATACATCGTAATCCGGGTCATTCGGTAACGTAAACAAGCGACAGTATCCAAACTTTACGAACGTTTCAAAATATGAATAATATTAATATCGTTTCCATTAACAAGAGTAAATAATTTAAGGAAATCAGTTCAACTTGGAACTAGAACATATTATTATTACATATCTTTGAACATATTTAAAAATTTAATAAAAACTTTACACTTACTGGAGATACGCCTTTAAAATCGTATCCTAAGAATGGAGCTGCAAGATTATAACATATAAAGAACTGTATTGGCCCGCTTGCACAAAGCCCCAGTGGCTCTTGTTCACGGGGGAACATTTTTCCGTTCCACAGCAATCTAAGGAAAGGCTAAAATTTTAGAAACAATATTAAGCAAACAAAAATACGAAGAGTGTAAAACCCGTATTAGGTTTTTTACCATAATAGGTAGTAATTATCGACAAGATAACATAGTTGTTTTAATTATTACTTGGTAATAATAGTAGATAATAGATATTACTTGGACATATCTGCAAAAACTGGTAAATTTTGCAAAAAACCTTAGATTTAATAAATGGCAATTTTTTGTGATAAATAAATGCTTTTTTACGCAAAATATATTGATTTTTCATTCTTAGACAGTTATCGTGTTTACTAGGAAGAAAGAAAATTTTTTCAAGTGAACTATCTAAACACAGATTTATGCAACTAACATTTGCAAACACATGATAACAGTCAACTATTAGTGGTTCTTGAATTAGTCTGTTTTTCAAACCTAGTATGTTATTAGTGTTTTGTTGTGATGGGGAAACCTATCGATGTAAAAGCTACGAGATATAGCTTTAACAATAAGTTCACAATTAAGATATTAGGCAAGAAAGACTGGAATAAAGGTGTACCCATACAAGCTACTGCTATCTGGTACAGGGATGGCTCAAAAACATTAGAGGGTGTGGGAGCCGGCATAGTGGGAACAAATCAAGGGTTACATTTCTAGTAAATCTATCTAAGGATGTGGCAGTTTTCTAGGCGGAAATAACGGCAATCTATCACTGCTTGGAAGAAATAGAAAGGCAGGAAGAACGTTCTGTTTAGTTGTCATCTTCACAGATACTCAGGCAGCGCTTAAGGCACTCAATTCTGTAGAGGTCAAGTCTAAGCTAGTATGGGATTTCGTGTGGGCCCTAAATAAATAATAAAAACGTAGCAAGGTTATGGTAGCATAAGTTACCGGTGCACGAGGGTCATAAAGGAAATAAAAAAGAAGATGAAATAGCCAAACAAGGTTCATCAATGCCATTCATTGGACCGGAAAACTTCTGCGGCATTGCAAAGTCAGTAACAAGAACGACTACAAGGAACTGAATAGCTTTCACCAGGACAAAGACAGGCGCAACAGTTCATTGCAGGAAATTTGCCAAATTTACGGCAGACCTAATAAGCACTGACAGGAAAACAATCAAAGCCATAGTAAAGAGACGTTCATTGTGTCCAGCACATTTCCATTTCAGTTTTGCTGCTTGTTCTATCGCGTCTACTTTTATAACTAATTAGTAGTATAACTAATTATTACCTAATTTAAATTTAACTTAGTACATACCTGTGCTAATGAAAAAAAGGGTGAAATAAATCTTGCAACTGAAATAATGTTCCTAAAGTAACAAGCTGTTGCTAAACTTATTATACCACTTAGTTTCTTAGATGCTTCCTCTGGATACAAGGTAGCATACGCTATGGATACTGTGCTTCCCATAGAAAAACCCATAAAAATGGCCTTTTGGCCTGTTATGTTATATACAAGATCAATGGTTTTTGGAACATCAAAGATAATCTCCTCGTCAAGGCTAAAATTAAGAATAGAATCAATGATATTAAAATCTATTAAAAATGTAAGCATTGATAATACAATTAAACGGTAATATTCTTAAACTAGTTTTCTGTAGCTGCGTATATTACCTACAGAATTTAATAGGAATAAATCATAATTTTAAATAAAGCAAATAATATCTTTAAATCGTCGTAAATAACAATCAATGCTAGTATTTATGGTCTAGTTTTTTACAAACAGACCTTAAATATGCGATAGCAAATTGAAATAAACTATTTGATCACCTTCAGGTTGGTTGTAGCTAACTAGTAACAAATTTCGTCTTTTATTGCCTTATCGATTGTGGACATTAACTATTAACAATTTCTGTCTGTTTTATCTAAGAGACAAGATAAGAGGCTAATCTAGAAAGGTCTGCAGAAAGCAAAATTGCTCGTCTAGGTTTTGAATATATAGTGATTCTTCATTTCTGCCCACGATTGTCTGGTATTGGCTGTTTTGTCCGATGTTGTACCTGCTTGTTTTTTCTTTCATAGCTCCTACCCCACATCCAAGTTTGGGCGTCGGTTTGGTCTTTTGATGCCTTTTTAATATCACAAGTTATTTGTAATAGTGAATGGTGGGTCTTTCTAAATATAAAATTGTTAGGAAATATTAAAAGTAACTTACATAAATTGTCTAGAGGAAGAATATATTGGAAGAATATAGAAAAATGAGTATTGAGAAAGAGGTATCACGTTGTAAGTTTGTTGCTAAGCGAAGCTGGCTAATATTTTAAGTGTGTAGGGGTTCTGACGAAAGAAAGAGTGGGAAAGATATTACATCTTGGAATGAACTTTTTTGATTGCCAAAGGGGGAGGCTTTAGGAAATGGTGGGAAATACGTCAGATTGGGTGATGAAAGAGAGAAAAGATATGTGGAGTCGATTACAAGATTCTAAAGACAAAGTTTGTTTGTGCGTCTTCATAAAATTATTAACTAATATTAAATAATATTTTTTTCTACGGGTTTCTTGATAAGTAGTGTAGTAGTGTAAGAAGCCATGGAGTGAGTGATATTGCAGCCAATAAGTTTTTATTCAATACCAGAATTTAATACTAAAATCTTTAATAATATTTATGACATAGGCAACATTCCAAAAGATCGGCTAATTTCCGAATTTATTACGTTAACAAAGAAACAGGGAGCCAAAAGTGCGAAAAATATAGACTAATAAGCCATACACTAAAACTTTTTCTTAATATTATATATCGCAAACTATACAAGCTTTGCGAAGAAAGAATAAAAGACACACAGTTTGGATTCATGAAAGGCGTAAGTACGGGAGATGCACTGTTACGATATCTTTACCTGATTTGTAGGCTAACAAAAGCCCAAATAGATGAATAAGACCAGCGTATAATACAAAATTTATACTGAAACCAATCAGCCACAATAAGAACAAATCTTGGAGATGAACCGACGGAAGCAATCCAGATTCTGCGAGGCTTTAGATTAGAAGTATACAAGGATGTATACTTTCACCTATATTATTCAACCAATATTCAGAAGAAATATTTAGTGAAGGCTTGGAAACTTGCGAACATGAAATCCTTTTAAATGAAGAACGCCTAAATAATATCTGCTATGCAGATGACACCGTTATTTTTGCAGACTTTGTATTTTTTTGTTTACACAGTATGCTGGTTAAACTTATTTTGGATATCTATCTGTTTTATTATTACTTAGTCCTCTCACTTGCAAATACAACAGCAGAGATACTAAACCAAAAAAACAGAGCCTGAGTAAGATTTAGTTAAAGTAAGCTATTTAAACCATTGTTTTCAGTTTCTAATGCCCCTGGTTGATTGGAATGTTTAGTGATTCTACCTGATTTTAACCCTTTGTTTCCTGAAAACTTTTACAATCAAAAATTGAGGTAAAAATTAAATAATCTTACTTTATTAGGTTCCTAAAAGACAAAAAAGTGAAAAATATTTTTTTTATTTATTTTTTTTAATAGGCTATGGTTTCGACATGATACCACTAGGAAACTAGAGATTTTTCTCAAATAAAAGAATCTTAAATAATAATATGAAAGATAGGTTACTAAAATAATAACTAAATAACAATATAAAACGTAGGTTACTTTTTATGATACAATGAAAAACAGTTTTTTTTTTTCGGAAAGGCACAATCCAACCTTACATGTCGCACACTCCCATCATTAGTAGGAAGTGGTTTATAATCAATGCTCCCACCTGGTTCTGTGAGTATCCTTACTAGTGCTACAAAAAGCACATCGTCTAGATGTCGCGTGTTGTGGCATATGAAAACATTGGTCACAGCGTTTCTCATAAGGCACAGCTTTTTTGAAATGTTTCGCTGTGACTGTAGGAGAAGCAACCCTACTTCTTGACGGTTTACTACCACTGGCGCCGATTAACCCTGAAGCTACGGATAATTTAAAAAATTTCAGGTTTGGAACCGTGCATTTCGCTTTTAGTATAAAGAGAATAACAGAATTCACGACACATATATCTACGAAATGCCACAAAATCCGGTGCCACCATTTTTTTAATTTGCGGTCAATCTCATACACATATTTCAGCAAATCTGTTTTGTCAACATTGCCCATATGCTGGTTATATTCATGTTGAACAGGCCACGACTTGTGAATTTCCATCTTTTTGTTTGCGGGAAACAGTTGCTTCTTCTGAAGGGTTTTGATAATTCCCCAAAAAATGGACTATTTTTCGGTCTCTCCACTTTACAAACATCAGTCCGTCGTTACTGACTCTCCAGTCTGATTGTTCCCGGATTTGTAGTTCTTTGTCAGATGCTAAGACTTTTGGAATATCTTTTCGGTTAGTCCTGACAGTACCGCACGCATAAATACATTCTGCTTGAAGTTTTTTTTTGTAAGGGCACAAAGTTGAAAAAGTTATCAAAGAAAACGTGATACCCTTTTGCCATCAAATCTCGAGTCAAGTCTAATATAACTCTTTGGCCCAAATGTTTTTAGGTTAATCATTAATTTTTCCAACATATATCTGAAATTCGCAAACGTATCCATTCTCGTCAGATCGAACCGTAACTTTATAACCCCTCTTGATGGGTTTTAGAGGCATAAATTGCTTTAGACAACTGCGACCCTTAAAACGAATCATAGATTCATCTATCGATTGATGTTTTGAAGGGCCATATGAAGAACGAAACGTTTCAGATAAAGTATCCAATAAAGGACGAATTTTATATAACTTGTCATAATTTGGCGAGTTGCGACCAGGCATCACCGAATTATCTGCTAAATGCACGTTTCCTAGATGCCAAGCAAACCGATATCTAGATATAGCTGAGCTAATGTGGTGATCTCGTAGTTCCTCTCTAGATGACCAGTAAGCGGTTTCAGGAAAATACCACTGAGAACGAAGCATAAAATTTATTTGTATGTGGTTTCACAGTAAAACCACTGTGAGGGTTAAACCTCTGAAACCACTAAAAACAGAGGGTTAAAATAAACGAAGTATGTTATGCACCAATCAACATGTCTATAGGAACAGGTATGTATAACTTAAGATCTGTCAATTTTAAGGTTTGTAGGTATGTAAACTCAGAAGGATTAATTTAAAATTTTAACTGATTTGAACACACTTTAGACAGAACCATGGCTTCAAATAAATATATATATTGGATCTGTTTGAAGCCAATAATATTAAATTGAGATTTTGAACAGTAATCACAGTAAGTCATTAAACACAAGATTTAAAGACAAAATTCATCATAGAATCTGTAATAAGAAGAATTCGTATTGTTTTAAAGTTATCTCCTTTATTTTAGCTTCATAGGTTGACAATAAAATAGGAAACTAAGGAAGTGATAACGTGCTTGTATTATAGTCAGAGCTGATTTAACTATTTGCAAGAATATTGGTAATATAAAAAACCAAAAACCAATATTTGCAACTTTTGACCTTGAATAACCTTTTTGAACATTTGTGATTTATGAGGTCACGTTCAGATTTTATTGATATTGGTATCCTATTCTTCAATTATTTTTCAAGAAGAAGAATAAGTCTATAGTGATAACGATATTGACCATAAAATTAAATCTTAAATATTAAGGTGGAAAGTGCAGGTTCATTGACTTCTTAATAAAAAAAATAAAAAAACTGGTTTTGGAGAAGACGCCCAAAGAAAAATGGAAACTTGATTGCACCAGAATGAGATGAAGAGGTAGCATCCAATCTGATCTCTAAAAAATAAACATCTTATTGTTTGATTAATTAATGGAAGACTAAAGCCATTGGATACAAATTGTACAGTCAGTCAAGTTCAGTTAGGACTGTAGCGCTAGTTATTGATGATGATGATAATGATAGTGGTAATGATACCATTTATAATTATTAAAAAATATGTGTACTTGCACCCAGTATCTACGTTATTTCTGTTACTATCAAAAAAATGGATCTTGTGATTAAAGCAGCGGGTGCGTCCACCGAAAATAATATTTCTCTACAAGCCAAATTTTTATGGTACCAATATAACCGTTTAATTTTTGTTTTTAATACAGAACAATTAAATTTTAAATTTAGCAAACCAATAATAATTAAATCTGTTTTTACCTAAAGTTCCAGTAAGCATAATCATCTTGCTTAAGTCCTTGCGTATGTCTCGTGCTATAGCGGGTACCTCTGAAGTTGAGGAAAAACAACTGCCTTCCTGATTTGATAATATTATAAGCTGTAATAAAACATAAGTTATTTTTTTAAAAAACGTTTATAACTATGAGGAAGATCCTTGTAACAATCATTTGCATTATTTTTCACCACATTAAATTACATAAAAACCAAATTCGTTATCAGCCTGCTAGACAAAACATATTACGCAATTAATGTAACTAACATATTAACTATATTAAAAAAAAACCTTCAACTTGGTACTGTTAGACCGTCGCAGACCTTGATGGTTGTTGATATTTAAAGATTTAATAAGAACAAATAGTCCGAGACGCGGTGAACAATTTATATAAGATTAAATATTTTCTTTAAAATAAAGGCTTTTAAATAGTACCAATTATCTTCATTTTACAACCTCTCGACAAAACATTTTAATCCATTTGTTCCCAGATTATTTTTTTGCAGTTTCTGCATGTATAGGTAATATTTTTTGGGAGCAGTTTAATTAAAAAACATAAAAATAAATGAATTTGCACATTCGGATTCGGCTAAACCACTCAGTATATGATGTTACATACTCGATGTGAATATTAGAAATAGAGATTTTCCTTGATGTATCTCGAAATCAATCAAATAGTACATAATTGTATTTAGGGACCAAACTTTATAACCAAATCATATGGGTTTGGATCTTAATAATTGCTTGCAGCTATGTTTACTGTAGTATTGATCTATACTTTCGTCGAAAGCCAAATCTTTTTCAGGAAAAAAATACTTTCTGTATATGTTCTACACTTTATTTATTAACGGGCGTATTTTCCAGAGCTTAGCACCTTTTTCGATATTTGCATTAGAATTCAAGTGCATAAGCCTCAAAATTTGATCAAATTTGTTTCGTTTCATATGCAATGAAACATTTCATTTCCTCTGGCGAGACTGCTAGGTTCTTGAAAGTAGCATATTGGTTTCATTAAAATGATTTAATAAAATAATTTCTTCATTTCTGAACATTAAAAATATACCAACAACTGATTTCTTTTCAAACAGTGAATAATTTGACGACTCGGGAAATTGTTTCTCGTTATATGTGGAATCTCTCGAAACCCAATCCTGGGTTTCAGAAACTTTTGGATAAACCATATTAGCAGGTATACGATATAACTTGCCAAAGGAATGTTACATGCTGTCGATTCTGACAGTTGAATAGGAATTTCTTCTCCTAGTATAATTTCATCAGCAGTTCTAACTTCTGCATCGGCAAGTAGCTGACGTTAGCTCAAATTGTCTAAATCTCTGAAATTCTCATCCGTCAGCCATTTGAAGCCTTATTTCTTCAATTCAGATTCAAGACAAAGTTCAATAAGATCTCACATTCAAAACGATGTAAACACTAGCATATTCTGACAAGAACTGACCTATTTTCAACTGAAAATTTTGCGACGTATTCGATAGAGAATTTAGATGGCACCAATTGGCCGTTAGATAAGCGTAAGGCCAGCTCCACACATGGGATCCAACGTTGGTGCCAACGTTGGGTCAACTTTGTTCCCAGGTTCGGTACACATTGGGTTGAGACATCAACGACTAATATTAGCGCGAATATCTTTGATGTATACGCAAAAACCGACATTCCACGGAAAACTCCCAACGTTGGAGAAAGTCATAAAAACGTTGGCGCCAACATTGGCTCCAAGACAGTTTTGTCGGTTCACACATTGGACGAAGGTTGTTGGGCCGACGTTGGCCCGTATGTGTGTAGCCGGCGCGTGACGCTAGGAACTAATGGGTTAACGTATATATTTCAATATATAAATAAAAAAAACTGGTACAGGAGAAGATATGGTAACTAGTGCAAAGCTTCATTCTATATTTCCTATCTTTTTAAATTTTAAATAATATAATTTAAATTAAATAAAATGATTTTATTATTAATAGTTGTTTATAACTTTATTTATTTTACATTTTTTTACAATGATCAATCATCTCTTACCTCTAATTTCTTGACTATCGCCTCAGCATTTTACTATAGAGAAAAATTAATACAAATTCTTTAATTAAAACTATTCCTAAACCATACACTAAGCATAGATCATTTTTATGGGCATATGGACTTTAATAATATCTGTCCTTACCTAACGATTGATTTCCTAATGATAAAAACGATGATCCGCTCATGAGTATTCCATGCGCTAAAATTATTGGTGTCGGATGAGTAATTTTTTTATAAGCTCGTACTATAAGTAGCTCATAGCCATCATCGGTAACTATATAATACTCTTCTGCTGTACAACCCCAAAGTCGAAGTACCTCGGTCTGTAATAGAATAAAAACTTTAATAATATAACGGAAGAAGTAAACACTTACGCGTTAGTTTAAGTCATTTTATTCGAAATAGAAGACATGAAATGGAATCTTATAAATTAACGCAATGATAAAAAATGTAAAATAATTTTTAAAAATAGATAAGGAACCTTATATAGGAATATGACATGAGGATAGGGACATTATCTTTTCTGATGTCACCCAATATGTAGCTTCTTCGAACTTAAAATAATTTTAAACTGCTTGTCCGTTGTCTCGTATTGTGTAAATGTATCAATTAATGTTTATGGCTTTCACCATATATTGATGGATAGCCTAATTTTAACGAAATGCCCCTGAAGATGCTCTAGTAGCAAAAGTACTTGTGCAAGATTTAATAAAAACTGTGCCCTATAGCTGCCTTTTATTTGATAAAAATTTATTTATTCGATTCAATGTTATATCACTATAGAGTTATTTGTTAAAAAACTAATGTAGTGTCACTATCTAGTGCAGAAGCAGAAGCAGAAGATATGATATTATCTTCATGTGTCACAGAAAGTTTGTTCTTTAGTCAAATGTTGGAACAGATTTTATAAAACTATGTAATGTACATGTATATAAAAATAACTAACCATGCATTAAGTTGGAACTAAAAAGAAACAAACATACGAATATTAGACATCATTTTATCAGAGATTGTTTGGAAAAGGAACTTCTGATCAAAAGGTACCGTCTGATTAACAACAAGTTGACATTTTTACAAAGTCATTATAAAAAATTAAATTGTTGTAAATGTTAATGTTGTTAAATTGTAACAGTTTTGTAGATACGCTAATATAGAATTGCAAAAGGATGTTGGTATTCCAATTCTGTATTGTATATTTTTATATGTTAAGTATATTGGCACCACCTGTTAATGACACTAGTATCAACGTCAACAAGTAGAACCTAGAGTGATTGTAACCAGAAATTTGCGTTAACCCATTAACCTCCAGCAAAAGAAATACTGCAATAATGTAATATATTTCATTATCTAGAGTAAAATAAACTTAAACATTCGTAAGAAAATTGTTTTACATTTTGATACTGACAGGTGTCACAACAAAAAAATGGTTCGTTTTCCAACCTTTGGTGAAACTGAGATAAAAAAATTGATATATACACTAAAAGCCAAATAAAGTTGCGTGCACGTCACCAATGTCGGAATTCTATTGTAGGTGTGGCTACATTTCTATAGAAAAGTGTATGTTACTTTAGTTTGCCAAACAATCACTTTTAAAAATAACCCGATCAATAAAAAAACTTTTGTAACAAAATAATGTATATACAGCTATGTATATATAGCTTTTTTGGATTTAGACGTGTAAAATTTTGTATTGAAATGTTCATGAAGGAACCACCAATTATTGACGGAGTATTAGTCACTACCAGAAATATTGTCATGTTGCCGCGTCGTTTGTTGAATTTTCATTCAGTGGTCTGTGACTTTTGTACTAGTGGTATCGTCGATTTTTGAGGTTATCTTGTGAAAAACATTTATTTACTTGTCAAAATGCCCAAACAGCTCAATAGTCGATGCAAAGAACTTGTGGCTTCATTAGTTAACTATTTTGAAGAAGAAAGGATTAATAATGGCTCTTTGTTACCCTTAAACGCTGTACAAGAGGTAATATGCGAATAAAATATCATTACTTTACTTTACAAAAATTTGTATGATATTAGCGTATAGCTGCTGCTTTAAAAATCAGCGTAAGAACAGTAAACAGCATATGTGCATATGTCAAATGCAGAAAAAAGGTGAACAGTTCGAGTCACTAAAGAAAAAGCGTTTCACTAATAAACGAGTAACTTATTGTTTGGTAACTCAGTAATAACTTTACCACTTTATTGTGAAATTACTTACTTTGTGAAATCTATTCATGAATGTAATTAACAAAAAAATAAATGAAAAAAAAACACTCATTTTTAAATTTCACTTAATATTGTTACGAAAGATTTATCCCACATAGGAAAAGTCCATTGACAAAAAAGAAGAAGTAGATCGAGAACTTTCAATATGACATCGAAAATTCTTGAAATGTCTAGTGAAGTTTGGAACGTCAGAACATATGTATATAACAGATGTTTTTGACAGTTGGGGAACAGATGTATTTTGAATGTAGAAGTTTATAGTTTTCAGTTAGTTAAAAGTATTGTTATATTGTTGGTATTGAATAAAGCTAAGTTTTAAGAAGTGTAACAATATAGTGTGAAATTTGCTATCTTCACCTTTTTTGTTTATTTAAGTTCTTTTCTGTTAATTTTCATACTTCATAAACCATCTGACAACGCTGCAAATGTTCACAATGATGACGTGAACGCAACTTTATTTGGCTTTCACTGTACAAATTTATTTTTTGTGAAAAGTTTCAAAACATTTAGAGTGTAAATGGATTTGGCATTTTTAAGAAACAAAAACAGTATGATCAGAACACTGCCAGCATCTTCTTCTTGCATTTTCTGCATGTTTTATCACTAAATGACCTTTCCCATCTTTTCGAATTTCATCTGGTACTATTTTTCGACGGTCTGCCCATGTTTATTGTCAACGGTACAGTTAACTTTTTTTTTTCTTCACTTTCATTCTGTTTTGATTCTTCTTGTTGTTAATCTTCCGATTTCATTCGACAAACAACCATATATGACCGAAAATCGATTTGGGAAATGAAGCTGTTATTTGCAAATCTGTATAGTTTCCAGGCATTTACCATGAAACTTTAAATTAAGATTTTAAAAAGTGGCCACCACCATTTCTTTCCTCGTACAGCAATCCTGTAATTCGCAAGCCGTTGTTATGTAAGTCAACGCCGCCCATACAATCTATTGTATTCTTGGATAAAATTCGGCATTGGGATATTTACTTCTTTCCGCTGCTTGCGATCCTACCTCTTTGCGAAGCCTACGAGATGGACTGGGCAGTTATTAAAAATTACTCTGAATTATCATTTCATCTAACAGTTGCATAAATTCCCTTTCCTTTCAATAGTGAGAACAGCTTATACGATAAAAAGAAGTTGTCAAAAAATACCCTGTGATTAGAGGGAGTTTCTACAATAATTAGTAATTTTAATACTACATCAGCATTCAAGGCTAAATCTGATTTTTTTGTGCTAGCACCACCGTAAGGGATAAACTGGAATAGGTATCCATCAGATGAACAGAGGTACTATAACTTATACCCAAAACGTACAGGTTTTTTCTTTAGAAACATTTTGGTACAAAAATATGGTACCATTTCTTCGTCTATAGAAAAATTATACGCGAAAATACCAAATTGCATGAATTTTTGATTCATTATGTCGAAAAAGGGGTGAAGTTTTGCAAATTTATCATATTTTTGTAACACCGTATTATCGCTTACGTGAATATACTTTTTGATACGCCGAAATTGATTTCTACTCATACAGTTCCTAATGAATGTCATGTTCTTATCCTGGTCCTTGCTCCAGTGCATATCCATTTGTGACAAGGTGTAATATCCTGTAATAATGAGTATTTCCAAAAACCTTTTTAGTAATGCATTTGTCAAATGAAAATCGTGACAGTTATGATCGTGGACATATTTTATAGTAAAATTAACAATAAGGTTGTAAACTTCATCGCCGAAAAAGAGCTGAAAACATTCGTAAGGGGGTTTTCCGGCGACACAGTTCTCAATTTTTAACCCTTTTTCAATTTTATGTGATTGTGGATGCTGTAAATGTCGGATCAGTTTTTGTAGACCATTTTGGAGTTGTCACTCTACATACTTTACGTTTTTTATACGATTTATTTGTTGTTGGTTCGATATCGAATTACTCTATGGAAGGAATCTCTACAAAGCCGACAACTTCGACTTTACTTGTGAAATGTTCCAGACGAATGGTATCTTTAGCAAAAATCTCAAATGTACCGGCAATCTTTCGAATCTCATTATCACCTACAACGTCACGTAATAGATGATATGAAACAAAAAACAATAGTAAATAGGCTACCTGTTACAACATCCTCATCAATCCTTCATCTGTCAATTCGTCACAGTCGGGAGAAATTATAGCTATTTCTGCGACCCTATCATCAATATCACTGATATTCTCCAATTCAGATTCTTATTCCAATAAACTATGGGCTCTTTAAGTGTTATTTTTCCAAATCGACATATTTATTTTCTACAATACTACACAACCTTCCAACTCCAGATTATAACAAAACTGAATACCAGAATACTCGTCTTTCTAACACATAAAAAGATAATAAAGAAATAGCACGTGTGCGCTGTGAAATAACTGTGGGAGTTAAAATTCTTGACCAGATTTTCGAAGTTGACTTCCGACAATGGTTTGTAATCGAACCATTATTTTCAAACACGAGATTTAATGACTCAAAAATATTTTTGTTCGTATTTTTATAACAATTGACGTTCCTTCAATTAGGTTAAAAAAATCAAGTTTTAATTTCTTTGACCACAAAAGTGCTTTACCAATAATATTACTACACTAAAAATAAAGTTGGGTCGAAGGACTGAAACTTATTCAGAAATTACATTGTGGCAACAGCGAGAGCCATAGCGACCGCTGGTCCTAACAGAGCTACTGGTCTATATTTGTTTTAGCCTAAGTCCAAAGAGATACATAATTCTTGAACAAACAGCGTATTACCAATGAAGAGACAAAAAAGGGACAGAAAAATATTTAAATCGGTAGCCAAAACTAAAACAATTTTTACAAGTTAAATAAATATCTGGAATTGTTCATTTTTTTATATCTACTAGAACAAAAGCTATAAACTTTACTTACCATATTAAGATTCTCAATATCATTGTTGTAACAGGAACTAGATCTTTTATAGTAATCCGAAAATTTTGGACACACTCTTATGCCTACACAACTATTAATAAACAAAAAGACAATACAAAAAATAACACATAATAAAGAAGACATTCTCACAGAGACTAAAAATGTATTCTTAAATAACACATAAATAAAAAGCAATATTTACAAAACAACTAATTTAGAATTTTAAAGCTATTATCTTTAAAAATGTTATTTTAAAGTTTTATATACTTTATTTTAAAATAACTTTGCATTAACCAGAGCGATAACAATTTATAATTGTTTGTATTATCTGGTTCTAAGGTAGCTCACATTAAATAAATGAATATTGATGTTTGAATTCATGCGTATGGTAAGGTCAATAAATAAAGGAAGCGGAAAATTTTTTGCGAGATATATTACATAATTAAAAATAGCTGTAAAAACTTGTTATAAAATCATTAGATAAAACAATAAAATACCGAGGGGCAAAAATTTTTAAAATTATTTCAAATATTTTTTTAAAATTCCTAATTGAAAAGGTGCAATATATAATAAATCCGTGCAAATCCTGGCCTATACTTATAATATCAATATTGTTGGGAGAACTAAAAACGCTGTACGAGAGGCGTATGTAGCATTAAAAGAATCAGCTACAAAAATGGGTAGTAATAAACACCAACAAAACGAAATCACAAACACTAAAACCACTTGTTATAAAAAACGACGTCATCGAAGCAGTGAACGAATTTGTATACTTGGGAGCGCTCCTTAACAATGAAAATAATACTAACGCAGAGATAAAACGCAGAATTTTCACGGCCAACACTTGCTATTTTGGGGTCAACCTCCTACTTAAATCCACAATTATAACGAAAATTACAAAAACAAAACTTTACAAAACAATAATACGCCCAGTACTAACATATCGCACTAATATTACAATAGTGTCGCAACTCAAAATGTTTCGAAATTTACATAACACTATATCCACATCTAAAATTCAATTCCTTATAAGTTAATAAAACTATCTTTTTGAATAGTGCAATAAATTAATAAAATATGGCGATATAAGACGGTAATCATGACTAACCGACTGTCGTTACCCCTTCACAATATGGCGTCATCTTTAATTGCGACCAACAGTGATCAAGAACGTACGTGTTGCTTTGATCATCATTTCGAGTTTCTACATTATTGCTTAATCAGGTATGTAATTTCCATAGCTACATTGTTACATTGCACTAAAATTGTTGTTTTTCTAGTTATTACACTATTACTGATTTACACCAGCACTTTTTAAATTAATATTTTTACTAACAACACTATTATTGGTTCAATTCATTATTTTTGGCATGTTACATTATTGTTGAATCATAACTTTAAATATTTTTTGTTGTTGTTGGTAAAACATTTATTAATCATTATCTATTCGTCGATCACCGGATAGTGATATCTCGTTTAAAATGTGTAGCAGTGTTATTAAGAAAGCTTACCAACTATTTTATTTGATAAATTTGGAGTTACCACAGTCTTTGTGTTATTCTTGCATCAAGTACCTATATACTTAATCTAATAATATTACTACATTCATTTTTATGTTTAATATTATGAGTCCTGGGCGCTTACTTGTTGCTTTTGCAACAAATACTGAGAATTACGAGCAGGAAATCTCTTCACCATCGTTATTGTCACTGGAGAATACAAATAATGAACCTGGTACCCAAATAGAGACGTTGCGAAGGTACAACCCACCACGTCATCAAGTACTTCAAGAAATTGACGTAAACAGTTTCTCTAGTTAGGTTAGTAATGTTATACCTATTACATAATCCAACCAAAGGCAATATTACATTTCACCGATGCACTCAGACCAGTGCGACTTTGATTCCGATGATTCCGACCGGGATCCGCATTTCGTTCGTAGTGTGCAAAGTAGAACCTATAGTTTGCTTCAAGGTCTAACAATAAAACCATCAAGTAGCTCTTTTGCAAGAAGCTGGTCATCGAGTAGCTCTTCTACGAGTAGCTCTTCATCAAGTAGCTCGGATGATAGAGTTGTGGATAATTTAAGTCTTTTTGATGAAACTGATTGGTTAACTAATAAATCAACTGTTTCTTCGGAAGAGCAAAACAATAAGACTAAGGGCAAAAAGAGGATACATAATATTGAAACCGGCGGTAATGAATCGTATAAAGGAAAAGCGTATGAATCTGTGAATAAAAAACAAGTACCTGCAAGGAAAATGGGTCCGACTTTATGAATAAATGAAACATCAAGACAAGATATTTTTATTAAGTATTGGAGTTTGGGAGATTTTCAAAAACAAAGAGAATTCATTATTAGACACACCTAACATAGAAATTAATCCAAATATAGATATCCTATAACAGTTTGAGTTTGCAAAACATTTTTTAAAAATAATCTTGTTATAAACAATCAACCCATTCGAAAAAAACAGAGTATGGTTTAATACAAAATGAATTACGCGGCAAACAAGAATACTTTATAATAATTTGTTTGATTATAATATAAACGTAATTAAAACAGTCTTAATTTATTTATTAATATCAAAACTAACAATTCTGATTAATTGTTAACGTGTAATACAATCTTTTTAGATTCAATGTTAACAAATATAAAGAATCAGTTCCTAAAATTGTAAGTCTAAAAACTAACGTAAACCGCAGAAAAAAATAGTAAATCAAATTGAAGTAGCACAAAATATTTCATAAATAATGTCATAACTAAAACTAATATTTCATTTCGAAAATTTTGCGTAGAGCAATACAGTGTTAACTCAAAATTTTTAAAAAACTTCACTCTCGGTATTTTTATTTAACTAAGAGTACAAAAAACCTTCCTTCAATATTAATTAGAAACACATTATGAATTAATTACTTTTTTTAAAACGCAATAGGAAATGATTAATAAGTTTTACGTTGATTCTGAAAAATCATCTTTTTTGAGTTACGACACTATTGTATTATTAGTGCGATGTGATTGAGAGACCTGGAGTCTAACAAAAAATAAAGAACACCTTTTAGGATGTTTCGAGTAAAGAATACTAAGGTGAATTTATGAAGAAGTGAATGACGGTATGGAATGGAATGGAGTGTGGAGAAGGCGATAAAACTTCGAACTTTATAGAATATACCAGGAACCTAATATCGTAAAACATATTAAGATAGGACATCTGAGTTGTATAAAGGATGTACTACTGATGGAACAAAATGGCGCAGCTAGGAAAACGCTCCTTGATAGACCCATTGGTCAGAGAAGAAGAGGAAGACCCAGAACAAAGTTCCTTAATAACATCGATGAAGACATGAAAAAACTGGGAATACGTGCTTGGTGAAAAAAGGCGATGGATAAGGACGACTGGAAAGACATTTTTGAGGAGTTTAGATCCCACGTAGGGTTGTAAAGCCAGAATGATGATAAAATAAAAAGCTTTTGTTATTATCATTGACAACAAATATATATCATTTATCAGTGTATCAGTATTGCGCATTAAGATCCTGTAAAAAATATATTGATCAATAAATAGTTCAGACCGGGATAAAATGTGTGAGCGATATAAGCGCTTGTATTGGTTTCAGCATTATCTTTAATTTCCGTGTGAAGTTGTTTGTCTTTCATTAGACGCTTTCCCAGGAACTGGATAGAAAGACGCCATAACCGGTTCTAGGACTTTCTTCTTCTTCTTCTTGTGATGCCTATCCGTTACAGATGTTGGCAACTAGCATGACAATTCTAACTTTATTGACCGCAGCTCGAAATAGTCCTAAAGTGGTCAATGAAAACCATATTCGTAAATTCTGGAGCCAAGATATTCTTCTTCTTCCTGGTCCCCTCTTTTCGTAGATCTTTCCCTGTAGTATAAGTTGCAGCAGGTTATATCTATGGTCGTTTCGCATTATATGTCCAAGACATTCTAGCTTGCGCTGTTTCACTGTGGATATAATTTCACATGTCTTATCCATCCGACGTAGAACCTCAGTGGTTGTTACTCGGTCCACCCAAAAGATCCTTAGTATCCGTCTATAACACCACATCTTAAACGCCTTGAGTTTTTCTATGGACGCCTCGGTTAGTGTTCATGATTTAATCCCATAAAGCAGCACTGTAAACACGTAGCATCTAAATAAACGGATTTTTGTTTTTAAGGGTAGGCTCCTAAATATCTTGCCCATTCTGACAAACGCTGAACTGACTTTTTCAATTCTCTATTTTATCTCAACTGAGTGGTCCCATTGGTCGTTTATGGTGGTTTCGAAATAGTAGTAATGGGCCCTTGTTTTTTGTTGCTGATCTAGCAGTAATATTTTGGATGGAATATGCTTCTTAGTGATGACCATTTACTTAGTTTTCTTGATGTTAAAATCAAGCCTGTACTCCTGACTGATTCTCTACAACTGCATTACTAGTGTCTGTAAACCTTCAAGACTGTCTGCAAATAGGATAGTATCGTCTGCATATCTGATGTTATTCAGGCGCTCACTATTTATAAGAATACCCTCTTCTATATGCTCCAAGGCCTGGCTCATGACGTGTACCGAATAGACGTTAAATAACAGGGGAGAAAGTATGCAGCCCTGTCGTACCCCTCTCTTTCTGGCAACATCCTCTGTTAGTTTGTCTTTTACCCGAATTGTTGCTGATTGGTTGTAGTATATGTTCTTGATTACTCGAAGGTCTTTGTTATCCAGGACTAGCAGTGGTAAATAAAATATCACCCGCGAACCAAAATAAACTAAGAGATGGTAACCCTAACAGAAAAGTTCCTAGCCCTCCAAGTCTATGGGTTGGGGATAGGACTAACGACCCTACCCTGGAAAAAAAGCATTGTTACAGGTGGCAGGTGAAAAAACACAAACTGGACGGATCTTATGTAGACAATCTGGCTAACCAAGAAAGGATATTCGATTTGGATCGTGGAACGGGAGAACATTATTCTATGCAGGAGAGATGAGATACCTCTTAGATATAGTCAACAAATATAATATGGACATAACAGCTATACAAGAGGTACGATGGAAAGAGAATGGTATATCTGTGTAATAGCTGCGTTATTAAACTGTGTTATAAGTAATTTTTAAAACAACTGTATATCATCAATCAAAAACATGAAATACAGAGGCGAATAGGCCTAACATGGGCAGCATTTGGCAAATTAAGCCATATTCTAAAAAGTTCAATTCCCATGTGTCTCAAGCGAAAGATTTATAATCAATGTGTTTTACCTATACAAACTTATGGAGCAGAGACTTTAATACTCACGCAA